ACCTCCCACCACCACCTCCACCTCCATCACCACCAACCCATCTCCATCACCACCATCACCATCTCCATCACCACCACCTCCATCACCACCATCTTCACTTCTACCACCACTACCACCACATCCATCACCACCACCACCACCACCAACTCCACCACCACCACCTCCATCACCACCATCATCATCTCCATCACCACCATCACCATCTCCATCACCACTACCTCCATCACCATCAACACCACCTCCACATCCACCACCACCAACTCCATCACCACCACCCACCTCCACCTCCCACCATCACCTCCACCTCCATCACCACCACCTCCACCATCACCAGCATCACCAGCACCACCACCACCTCCACCTCCACCTCCCACCACCACCTCCATCACCACCGTCACCACCATCTCCACCATCACCACCTCCATCACTACCACCTCCACCATGACTATGGAGAGAGAGCGACGCCATTGTCCTGGCCGGAGACAGGCTCAGCAGTATGCAGAGAAGGAGGAGTGGGAGACAGTTTGGAGGTGGAATGGGAGGGATGTGGTGATGGCCAGGGTGTGGGAATGAGGAAACAAAGGGAACTGGGGAAGCCCCAGGTGGGACAGTAGGGGTGGGGGAGATGGTATGCAGGCGAGGGATGGCCTCAGTGTGGATTGGGTGGTGGGCTGGGGGCAGAGAGGAGAGATGGGAGGTGGTCCACAGGCCCTGGAGATGTTGGGCTGGGTGGGGGTGAGGGAGCGGGGACCCCGGGTTTCTGAGGGGTGAGGATTGCCTGGGTGAAGCCCTGTGTATGGGCCTGGTGATTTTCAGCACCTGGGACTCAGGTCAGCAGAGGCACGAGCTGAAGCCACAGAGAGGGTTTTCTGGCCTCTCAATCTGTTGCAAGGAGCCCACAAGGTAACAAGCCAAGCCCCCAGCACTCAGTGGGCACTCAGGACATAAGAGAGACCATGGGGTGACGTGTCCCCAGTGCCCCAGCAAGTGGTACTCAGAACCCCTCCAAAGTTCCTCTAGACAGGCCAGGTTCAGCCAGCACCCTGCCGCAGAGCCCACCCCACCGGCCCAAGTGGGCGAGCTGAGGGGCTGGGCCAGCAGAGCCTTACCCAGTGGCGGTCCGTGGGTTATCAGGATGTCTACGCCTTCGGGAATGAGGTTCCATTTCTCCAGCAGGGCCTGGCCTCGTGGGAGGTTGAAGCCCCAGCCGTAGAACCAGGGCTGCCTGGAGAAGAAGAGCAGGTGGTTGAGGGCAGGCGGGCAAGAGTGCGGGGCGGTCACAGGGAAGGGGATGCTCCCCACAGGCCAGGCGGCCCTCAGGACCAGCTCACTACCTGGAGACTCAGGGAAGACCCAGGTGGGGTGTGTGGACCCCCAATCAAAAGAGAACAGATTCCAGGTCTGGGCTGCTCATTCTTGTTTATACTGAAAACTCTGCCCAGGGAGTCCAGGGAGGGTTGAACCCATCCCCATTTGGGAGGGTGGAGCCAGGTAGACCTAGACCATTAAACCCAGTCCCAGCCTGGTAACCTGTTCCCTACACAAGACCTGGACCCATCAGTGACAGACGTTCCCTCTAGTCAGTTCAATGAACACATCACCTAGATTATTCCAATTGCAAGGAGTCTCAGATTCTTTAAAGGAGAAGAAAAGTGGATACTGTCATCCCTCTGTATAAATAGTGAGCTTCTAGCCTTGGAAGCTGTGGTAGCTGTTAAGCTATCCCAAGAAACAGCTGGATCAAACTGAACCAGACACCCACCTACCTCAGCACCTCCCAATTCTATGGGCTGTAACAAAGCCATTTGAACTGGGTTTTCAGTCATTTGCAGCAAAGGCACCAGAATCATCCCAGAGGTTTCACCCATACGTGATTCCACAAGAACAGACCCTTTATGTTGACAAACTAACCAGCATCAGCACTTCCACCACTACCTCCATCACCACCACCTCCACCATCACCAGCACTTCTGCCATCACCACCTCCATTACTAGCAACTCCTCCCCTTTCACCACCGCCCCCATCACCACCACCACCTCCATCACCACCACCATCTCCATCACCACCACCCTCATCACCACCACCACCCCAATCACCACCACCACCTCCATAACCACCACCTCCACATCACCACTGCCACTTCCAGCACCACGACCATTATCATTATCATCACCTCCATCACCACCATCACCACCACCACCTCCTCTATCACTATCACCACGATCATCTCCATCACCACCACCATCATCACCACTACCATTATCAACATCAACATCACCATCATGACCCCCATCACCACCATCTCACCATTACCATCATCATCACCATCATCCACCACTGTTATCAGTATCACCACAATCACCTCCTGTACCACCACCAGCAACATGATTGCTATCACCTTGATTATCATGGACTCCTCCTGAGATCACCCACGGAACCTGAGTGAAAAACCTTTGGCTTACAGCAGGTTCTTTCAAATTGCATTTTGATGAATGGCAACAGCATTTAAAAAAAGAAGAAGAATAGAAAACCTCAGCTCCCCAAGATTCAACAGTCCATCAAGCCAGGGAAGGCATACTTCAGTTAAATACATTTCTATTTAAATAGCCACCCACATCCACGTGGACTGAGTCACAGAGTAAAATGCTTTCCTGCCGCGGTTCCTGGTGAAGAACAGCCGACAGCGCCTCACTGGCAGCTCCCAAGGCTGCCCCAGTTCTAATGGGCTGAGCTCACAGCTGGAACTTTCTGATGCTGTGGTCCTGCACACGTTCAGAGCCCCACTGGCTGAACCAGGCAGCCAAGGAGAGTGGGTAGGGTGCTACTGGGAAGGACTCAGCAGCTTGGATCCCATTTAGGGTCCTGCCTGGAGCCCCAGCCCCATCAGCCAACATAAAAAGAAGCAACACATTTCTGGTGCTGCCTTCCAAACACAGCCTCCATTTTTCAAAAATCTTATCAAATATTTATAAGGCAGGAGGAAGCCTCATCAGTACGGAGAGACCACGTCTGTTGGTTCCCGAGAGCCACGGCAGGGGGTGGTTATTTCAAGGAATCACTAGGAAACCTATCAGAGAACCTACAGACCCCCAGGAGCTGGCCCCTGGTAGCCGCTGCCTGTCCTGCCTTCCCCTCACCCAACACCAAGGAGCCTTCCTCCAGGGGTGACAGTTTCCTGCCAGCTTCTTGGAAACGCATAACTTCAAATCTTGGGGAGCCAGAATCCACCCTATTCCCCCACCCCAATGCCCAGAGAGGTTGCTCCTCTTCCCAGGGTCACACAGGGAGGCCCAGGCAGAGCTGGGTGAAGAACCACAACTCAACAGGGCAGCAAGTCTGGAATTGTTCCTGTTGACACCTCTGCCCCTTTCTCCCTCTCCATCACACCCCCACCCATCTGGGGGACCATGAGAACATCTCCAAATGCAGAGAAGGGCCAGCCTTGCCTGCAGGATCTGGGGAGTGGGGGCAGCTGACACACAGCATTAGATTCAGGAGGCCAGAGGGCTGCCTTGTTCTCCTCTGCTGAGTAGTAAGGGCACTGCAGTAGGCATTGGACACCCCAGTTCTGTCCCTGGCTGATCACTGCCCCTCTTCCGGCCTCAGTTTCCTCCTGTGTAAAGATGGGGTTAATGACGCCTCTGTCCTCAGTCCTCTTGCTTTCCTCTGTGCCCCACTGCCTGACACAGGGGAGGAGAGGAGGGAGGAGGAGAGGCTTAGGGGGATTACACTGCACCACCACTGTGAAAATGCCTTCTAAGTACCCGGCCGCTCCATCAATAGAAGAGGGGATGTTCCAGATTTTATTAGAATGTAGGGGACAGGGGACAGGCACGGGGGCTCACGCCTGTAATCTCAGCACTTTAGGAGGCTGAGGCGGGTGGATCACCTGAGGTCAGGAGTTCAAGACTATCCTTGCCAACGTGGTGAAACCCCGTCTCTACTAAAAATACAAAACTTAGTTGGGCGTGGTGGCACACGCTTGTAATCCCTACTCGGGAGGCTGAGGCAGGAAAATCACTTGAACCCAGGAGGCAGAGGTTGCAGTGAGCCGAGATCGCACCACTGCACTCCAGCCTACGAGACACAGCGAGACTCCGTCTCAAAAAAAAAAAAAAAAGAATGCGGAGGACAGGAAGAGTCAAATAATGCACAGGACATCCAGAAGACATTTTCCAGGATGACTGCTGGCTGAGGAGCACCATCCCCAGTCTAGGAGACGGGGGCTTCTCAAAGGCGGCAAGAGTAGGTGGGGGCAAGCCAGCAGTAGACTGAATAGACCTCACTCCCAGCGGTCTCTGAGTCACCCACAAGACCTGAACAGCCCCCGGCGCTCCTGTACAACGTTCATAGAAACCACCATCAGGCTCTGCCCCGGGCAGAGGAGACAAAAGCAGCAGTCCCTCCTGGAGGCGAAGCGTGCGGAGGTCCTCCCCACATGCTGTACGTGGGGATGAGACAGCCCTCTCCATGTCCAGTGAGACCTGATAGGTGGAATCAACCACTGTGACCGGCAGGCCCAAGCCCCGTGGGGCCCCTGGTGTGTCAGAGGTCAGGGCAGACGAGGGCTCCAGGGGCCCATTCAGCCCCCATCCAGCCCACCCCTCGCTGCCCACACTGTCACCGCCGTCTGAGACTCACGAATGCCCGTGATGCGATGCGGAGGTCCCCCAAGACCCCCTGTACTGTTAATGCAGCCCAGTGCCTGGACCCACCCTCGCCACCCTGAGGGGCCAGGGGCCCCAGTGCCAGTCCCACTGCCCAGCGCACATCACAGCCCCTGAGGAGGGCGGACGGATGCAAATTCCCACTAAGCCATGGGAGCCGGCTTTATGTCCTGAATTTCTGTCTTTCTGTTCTAAAGTAACCATTGGAATAATTTTCTTACAGAATGATAGTTGCCATGACAACCAGAGCAAATTTTCCTTTTCTGAAACAGATGTCTCATTTAGTTGAAAATTAGAATGTGAACAAACCCATGGGAAAAATTAATTCAAACTTTAACAGAGCGCTGAATACAATGTAATCTCTCAGAGGTTAACCCCTTAACAGCTTTTCCGTGCTCTTATGGTAACCTCCGAGTCCCGTCTAATTAAGCCCGCTTAGCCAATATAAATGACCTCCTCGTGGCCAATCATTCAACAGCCTCCCGCTGAAGCACGAATTCCAGGTTCCTCAACAGCAAACAGGGAAGGGGGAGACAGTCGACTGTAGGAAATTGCAGGAGCCGAGCCCGTCCTGCTAGGGTTCTCTGCCTCCCCAGGTAAGGTGCACAGCCCCTGGGCAGGTCGGGTTCCCAAGGGTCACTGCAGCACCCTGGAGTACAACCACCCCTGCTGCACCCCATTTCCTAGGGTGTTGGGGCCCTCAGGGGGTCTGGGTAGGGCTGAGCCCACTGGCACACCCAGGCCAGGACATGACGCCGAGAGTGACGTGCGGGCCGCCCTCGACAGGACACTGAGCGGACACACACACAGATGCAGTGCCCAAGGCCTCTCCAGGAACAGCCAGAGCTATCCTCACAGCCCCAGAGAGGCAGCTGCCACCGTGGCCTCCACTCTACAGATGCAGAAACTGATGTGGGGAGAGGTACCCAAGTGACACCGCCAGGACTTAAACCCCGAATGCTAGTTCCAGGGCCTGTACTCTCTATGTCCATCCCAGCATGATGAAAATGTGACTGGGAATCACCCGTGACCCCTGCCGCGCCCACAGCAAGTCCTATCACATCTATAGCTCAGTTAATCCTGAGGGTAAAACTGTTGGGAGGACCCCCCCGTCTTAGAGACAAGGAAATGGAAGCACAGAGAAGTCAGGCAGTGTGTCCAAGGACACACAGGAAGCCAGAGGGGCGTGGGATAGGGCTCCAGGCTCCTGCGTCCCATGCCCAAGCTGGTGACTGCCACACAGACAATTCCTGGGGTGCCAGGCCACAGGCTCTTCCTCTCCCAAGGCGACTTCCTGCCTGCTCCTCTGAGCTCCCTAACCCCCTGCCAGGTCCCCTCTGAGCCTGACTGCATAGAGGGGAAGAGGCCTGCACCCCTGGCTCCTGGGACCCCACCTCGCACATGTTCCCTGCATGTGACTCCTCCATTACAGCGCCTCCAGGACAAGCCCAGCCCTCAGTCTGGCATAGCGGGCTTTAGGATCTGCCCCGCCCCCTTCCAGACCATTCTGCTCAGGCTCCCCTTGGAGCTCACTGTCCATGTCCACCTTAAACACAT